CTTTGTATTAGTAATTATAACAATAACATTAGTTATTTATTACTTTTTTATTTCTTCGTGCTATTTTAACCGACTTCAAAAAAAGAGGAGGTTATCAATTCGACAGTATTTTTTTTATCAACGTTACGCGATAACTACGACATTTTGTGAACCGATTTTGATGATGCTTTTTTTGTTGGAAAAAGTGTATCTCAGAAGTGTGGAACCACATTTAAATTTGGAGAAAATATTTCACCTCTGAGAAACTAGGGGACTTTTGAGGTCAGCTTTTTTGTACTTTGTACTGAGATTATGACACTATCAATCTTACAGATAGTAGAGGGTGAGGGGAGTAAGATTCCAATTGGAAGTAGAAACGCTGATGTAAACTTTTGACATAAAATATTTTGACAATTAAAAGTAGCAACTAGTTTCTAACTCATTATTTATAGAAAATTTGCATTTTCATGTTCATTTGCATGTTATTAACTCTAGTGCTCATTGCACTAGAGTTAAAAACATTATTCCAAGCATAAAATCAAGAGAATTTATTTTAGAATACACTGTTCTATTGAGAGGATAACCAAATTCAACTGGTTCTTCGGCAAATTTAAACTTTATCGCGACGTGACTGCAATTAGTGATTTCTTTTCATTGATATGAAAAGTCAGTTTTTGATTAGTTCAAGTTTGAAATACATCTACGTCGATTTTTTAGCCTTTTACATGATAATAAACAAATGTAAATTAGCCATTATTTATTTATCAATGGCGTGTAACATGTGAACGTTAAAAATGGTAAGTACTGGATGTCACGATTTTTATAATTACTTCTATTTAATATGGCCTTGACTGCCATTATCATACTGACCATCACATTATGGTAATAAGTTCAAAAGTTGTCAGTCTCTAAAAATACCTCATAACGAGTCCTTATTTCACATACTAAATTATTACTAAGTGAAATGCAAGACGAAAATTAGAATAATTCTTTACAAATGCCATTCGAAGACACATTTTACGAAATCATATTCATTATATAACAGTTACCCGAGAGTTATGGTCAGTTTGGTATGGGGCCTGCTAATAAAGCGGCATTTCTTTTCTGTAATTCTCGTCATCGTTGCACTAGACCATGCAGTCAAAAACTTTGGAGTGATCCAAATATGTGGCTCTCTTCAAATAACTACCTGGTTGGTAAAGCACGACTGTTTAGTTTGCGAATAGATCCACCCCATAAGTAACAATAAATAGTTGGAAAGTGTGCGATGAATTGCACGATTTAATTCCACATTCACCTTTCCATCACCGGGGGACTAGACTTAGGCTGAGGTTCCATACCTATATTATGGATATTCCAAAGATTCGCACGAAGCGTTACGCTTCCACATTTCTATGGCTAATAGCTATGGAATGGAATTCCTGTCTGCAAATATATTCCCTGAACGTTACAACTTGGGCCTTTTCAAGGCGATAGTGAATAGGTATTAATAAGGTTTGCATACTCCTTCGTCGACCTCTTCGTCAATTTCCATCAGGTGAGTTGGAGGTCAAAAGCGCACTTATTCTGTCATAAAACATTTGTAGTTGCAGCTTTACCACGACTGACTTATAGACAAACATGCTTTTTTTAACTTTAATTATACAGATGTGTGCCATTGTGCCAACACAAGAACCACGCCAATTATCTGGTCTCAAACTAGGGGATTCGAGTACCAGAGCAACCAATTTAGATAAGTTAATTTCCCAAATTGGTCCTACCGGGAATCAAAACCGGAACCTCCGTATCCAGCACCCACAATACAATCATACTAGCTTTTAAAAAGTGAAGAGAGAATACTGACCCGCGGTTCCGTGATGTCACCAGGTGCCATCGGTGCGCGAGAGCGAATGCCCGCGGTTGAGGCTCTGCGACCGCTGCGTGTTGTGTCGATAGTGGTGCTTCACACCATGCTGCAACCCCAGATCTCAGTATTTCTCCGTTTACAATATTACATGACGCTTTACACCTTGTATTTTTGACTGTCAAGAAGTTTTTACAATAGATTTAGTCTCGTTACGTAGTCAGATGAGGGCGGACGTATGAGAGAAAATTTATATTGATATATTGTATTGTATTGATTATATTGATATAGATGTATTGTTACAAATGTATATTTTCCAAATACATTCTTAAAAGTCAATTTGATATAATAGAAAATGAAAAATGTAAGTTTGATTAAAAATACACAAATAGAAAACTTCTGAAATACACGCCATGTTATAACACCAAATATAGACAAAAAAATTCATGATGTATGGTACGCGGTTCAATTTCGACAAACTACAAAAAAAAACTTCTTGACGTTCAAATGAAAATGAACTATCCTTGAATGCTATCGATATTAAGTTTACATTTCACTCTATCTCTGTAATAAATAATTTTTTTAGACGCGCTCTTGCAGAAATTGGCTCCTTTTATAAATATCCAAACGAAATTAGCTTAGGTGAAAATATAAAATCGCTATTCGAGGTTATAACTGAGTACACCCCAGAAAGGTGAAAAACAGACATGGCGTTTGCAGAAGCGGTAGAGCGGCGAAGAACTTGGCACAGACTAAAATAGTAAGTGCAAAAAACGACGTCAAGTGTGTTATTTATTGTTGTATTTGCGAATGAATTATATATTTACCGAGAAACACTTAAAAGCCAACTTAGGCTTAACGGCTTTTACAAACAGAAATACAGAACGCTGATAATCTAGAAAAGGTAATTAACAAGTAAAGATATTTGTTAATGGTTAAATAGTCGGTAAGAGGGCATGCGTTGGTCTTGCAAAGCTAAGCCCATATTGCCTTTGGATGTTGGATTTGGATTTACCAAAAATTACACCAAATGGCGTAACATTTTGAAATAATGTATTTTTCTTCGAGGTGGTTCTCTGAAATCAAGACTACAAAGCAAGTGTACGATCTATATGTATAATACGTCCAAGGAAAATTGTACTGGATAACGTAACTTTATTAATATACCGAATTTAAATGTAAAGCACATCTTTTTTGTGTTCAACCAAACATATTTTATAAGTTTATAGTAATAGGCTTAGTTATTGTTATTTTGAGGCAACACACTTGACGGACGTAAGACCTAGATACCCACGGTACAGGGAATCATAGTTTGGGAGCTAGGCACATCTCAGTACCTATTTTTCCAGTATTTTACAGTGACTCTTTTAAAGCTATTTTTACTTTTAAGTTAAGTTCAAGAACCCCTTCACAAAGACCGCTCTATCGCTGTTGCAGGTTCAAAAAATACCAATCTGTAGTGTCAGGCAATTTACGAAGTTAAATCAAGAGTAGTTCTTTTCAATTAAATAAAATCAATTATAGTCAACAAATTTGATACTTGTGCTATTTATTCGCAACGGTTTTTATTTGCTTATATATATCTTTCTTAGAAGTCACAATTTAACATTTTGCATTTTATTCTTCATGCACATAATGTACTTGACTACTTTGCCTTCAGTATTCATAATCTTGACTATAATATAAATCCATATGATACGTTCCAGTTCGTAACTTGACCATAGTAACCCATTGCGGCCTCGGTATCTTGATGTCTTTGATGATGATCGAGAAATCCTCGAAATGGAAACCTTCAGTGCTTTCCTTCTCCCTTAAAGCAAGTAATAACTAATATGTTCACTTATACACTCATGTCTCATGTGTACTCATACATACATGAATATAAATTTAAAAAAAGATTATATTATTCATAGAAAGGGTCATTTTCATAGACACAAAAAGCAATATACTTCCGGCATAGTAGTCAAATACAGCAATTGTTTATTTATAATTTTAGTTTGATAACGCTATATTACAAATGATAACTTATTTAGATGAAAATGTAATGCGAAACGAACATGCAATTAGTGATGCAATTCTACACTTTAGAAAACATTGAACTTCTATAGGATTTGCTGGATTGAAAATCTACATGGAAAGGTTATTATTATTATTAGGTGTTAATACAACAGTGGAAAAATCTTATAGTATTGTATTGTACAGACATTGAAATCATCATGCCATGACAAATTATCAATGTATAATCGCTACCTGCCGTAGATTCAATTAATTAAAATGTAGATAGTTCAGAATTTATCTTAAATCGGTTGGTATAAGATTATTTCATTCCTATAAAAATGAAATGTACCTAGTAACACATTTTGTGTGCAAAAAAAAACGTCTGTTCGCACATACAGATATGTATCACGTCATTGCGATTCTAGACTTGATTACTATTTTTAGATTTATCAGTTTATATTCTCACAAACGCAGCACTTTCCATTCAATCGCCCATTTTAATTTTAGTGCCATTGAGTGGGTGAGGATCGACTAGAAATACTTTTTATTCGTTATACATCAAAGATAGAAACAGAATATGACGTTTATGACGTAAGTAACTTGTTTTCATATTACTTGTTTTCATATTACTAACAGTAAGCATACGTATAAGTCTTCGTACAAATTGTTTACTTAGTAATATTGTGCCCTCTAAAATTTGAGGCTTCTTTTATATTTTGATATAGTTAAGAAACCGTAGGAGGTTCACGCGTGCTAACTGCTCTACACACAAGCCCGTTGACATCAATCAAGAACCCTGTCAATTTCCAGGGCAGTGACCGTTATGTAGTTTTCCCAAACCTTTACGGAGGCAATCATGTATGTTTAATACGATTTTTATGAATGCTGTTGTATTTCAAAAAGATCGACGTCAATTGTAACATAGTATGCACTTTGTAATCATACAGTGTATCTAACAGTCTAAGTTAGAATGAACAACTAGTAAGAGGAGTAATGTGAACATATAATTGTCAACAATTGCTACCATTTTAAATTTGAACAATCCACTTTTCTAGCACAAATTATGTCCAAATGACTTTCAATATGTGGAGTAAAATTATATTTAAATGTAAACTTATTTACCTACAAATAGTTTTTTTTTTCAGTATAACTCTTACTATTTAGAAGTACCTGGACTAACGTAGTGCTTTATATTCATAAGTAATCGTTCACCTTATAAAACATTTAATAGAAATCTCACTACGAAATGTATGTAGCCAAGCAATTAAAAATTCAAGCACCACGTTTCGATCTCGGGTATGGGCCTTCAATCAGGCTATATTAGCCCATCTGTATGTGGGTCAGCTCGATCTCACTTCACATTTTAAACTAGACACAACAAGTATTCTCCCACACTACCTTATACATTTGCCGGTTCTTTCAATAGATTTTTTTGTTTGCACCTTATTTCCACTATGTTAATAATGCCAATAACACGCAAGCGACTCTATCTATGGACATGACATCATTTACAAACAAAACCTACGTTATCTACCGTTTAAACCGTTCCAACAACACAAAAGCACACAGTTATTGAATTTAGCAAATTAATTTCAAGACATAAAATCACGCCTGCCTTTTACGTGTCACTGTGTAGTGAATCAGTTGGAATACTATTCAATACCACTGGTATGAGTTTATTTAAATAAATAACACATATATCTTGTCATGTAACAAGATACCTCATCGCTAAGACATCTTACTTAACCTTGTAATAGGTAGATATCTACAGAGCCGATGCTCAATGGACCTAGTGCAGCGTGCGCCAACTTCATATCTAACGTTACAATAGCGATATTCTTTAACTTAACATGTTTTGTGTCAGGATTCAGGTTTCTTACTAGGAACACAATCACAACATCTAATACGGTACACACAGTTAAGCGTGTTCCACCCGCAAGTGGATATTATTCAATAAATTATCGATCGTAGATTTAATATTTATAAATTAACAGAACGTGTGCACATGCAATACTGATTTCATATTCAAATGTGCATAAAAGATTACTTGAATTTTCAAAATCTTTATAACAATATTTAAACTTTGTTTAATGGCCCGGACGGCCCGTTATTATGGACATACACGAGGAGGGAGGGGGCACAAACACTCCAAGTGCAAATTAATCTAAAGGTACTACGAACCTCGAAATTGTTCCAATTTTGCGCAGAAAATTTAGCAGCCTCCACGCTCTCTTTAGCACCCATATTTATGAACTTGTGAAATCACTCAAATGACTATGACAATTCGGTTTCGATGCGTATGTTCTGAGCGGTTCGTGACACTAATGTGCACTACGACTGCTCTCACTGGCGAGAGTCGGGTTTGACAAGCATTAAATACCTCAATCGCTGGTCGTTCGCAAAGTTAAAAATTCACAGCGTTGAATTATAAACGAGGGGTGTATGAGTGTTGCAGGTTGCGAGAGCACATCGTGTAAACACGGCCAGCTGCTGGCTCTGCGGACGGCCGCCCGGCAGCCTTGCTGCCGCACGCCCACCGGCCTACTCGTGGCTTCTCCGACCGTGTTCTACCGGCAGCCACCACTACCGCCCGCAACTGCTCTACCGCTCGCGAACTACCCGTGACATCAAAGTGCGCAGAATGTATTGTACGGCACGGCGAGTGGATCGGTGCGACACTGAGACACCGCCGGCTCGGTTAAACGTCAGAGCGGACTGGGTCGCGATCCAAGCGTGCGTGGCGGTGTGCGCACAGTCGCGCCGGTCACCGCCGCGCACCAGCCGACCCGAAAGCCGAGACGCAGCGACGCCCAAACCTAGTGAGCGATACGGCGGCCAGCGCCCTCCGTCTCATCTCCTAAGATACGCCGGCTCTGCCGTGCCGTACCCACATCGGGCCCATCTAAGACTGCTATGCCAATTTAAATAAATATCATCCGCAAATTTAAATCTCAGTTTTAGGTAAATAGTTTTGCACACAAATAATGTTAATGGCATATATTGAGATTAAGAAGATCATCAATGGGTGTTCGGAGCAGAGCGGCGAGGGGCAGGGGTTGCGCGCGCACTCTCCGAGACAACATTCGATTTTGGTCCATGACTGTTGGATGCTTACTGTGGCCCACCGAGGGCTTTAATAGTTCATTCCAGATTACGGTGCGGCGGACGCACGAGTGCTTATTAATTTTAATTTGTCAGACTACATACAAACTCATATCCTCCCTCACTTATATTCTGATTTAGGGTTAAATAAAACAACATGCAATGAGCTCAACGTTACTGTCCGCTGTCACCATTTTGTTAGTAATTAACGGGTTCACTGTTATCATATTATGATTCTTAAACTTTATTGTTTTTATTTCTTTAATAAACAATTGTATTAACTATATTTGAAAGTTATAAAACTAGCATGTATATAGAAAACACGGAGCGAGACGTAATTAAAAAGTATCATAATATTTCAGTAAATATTCAGTAAATATGGAAGATCACTACAATGTTTTCAAAAAAAAAGAAACCCAATTGTATGTGTATTTAATCAATTATATGCTAGGAATAGAGGCTGTACAAATAAATAAATGTTATGAGTTATGAAAACGGAGATGTTTAGCGCCATTATGATTCCATGTTTTTGGCAACATCCAATTATTTGCCAAACTTTAATCAGTTTGTTTAATAACATCATAGGAATATTTTTTCTCGTGGTTGAGTTTACTGCCTAAACAGGACCTACATGGGTAGGTTCTATTATCTTAATTCTTCCTCACAGCGCAAAAGATATAGCGAAAGCCAGCTAAATAACAGCTATAGGAGACTTTAGCTCTTATGAACCAATACTAGTGACGTATTTGTCGTAACACTAATACTTCCTTAGCGTAGAAAATGTCTATAGGCGGCAGATATTATTTTGCAAATAGCCGACTACTATTTGTTGATATGAATACAGAAAACAAAAAATATATTACAAACACTATTTGTGGCACTATTATATTATTTCAGTAAAAAAGTTTTAAAATGGTTAAAAATGGTTAAAATTAATGGAATCGACAAAATTAAAAGATCTATCAATATAAACAACTTTTACTACGAGAACAAACTATCTCTAACAGTTATTCCATACACATTAGTCGAGTAGGTATGTATGTACATAGGAATCGAACAAGTAAAGATGGTTTACATGTATAAGTGTATCACGATTACGACAAATATAATATCGTATTTATAAGGTCTAAGGATCAAAATATAAATATTGTATGTTCTAATGTAACAAGACTCTTCAGCAACACAAATGGAAAGTGTTCCTTATGAAAACCGCGGATACATGTCACGATCGAAAAGGCTATATTTCGGGGGCGTTATTCCCACGCAGCACCGTCAAATACAGGTGATATTATGGCAGTATGATACCCTTACGTTTTTCATATCTCTTATAGAGGATCTTTAATGCCCTGCACGCTGTTAAACATCCGTCTTTTCTCGAGACTTAGTCATTTGGAACAGGACCGTATACAGGAGATTTTACCATAAACATTATAGAAAACATTAAAATTGGGCATTGTGTTTTTAAATCCATACGTCGGAGAGAAAGAGTTTTGCGGAAACTGTTGAATATAATAGGAAATAATTAATGAAATTATAATGAATAATTATAACAATTTAATAATGAATATAATTAGGGAATAAAACTATTTTTCCGCATTAAAATCGCGTATATTTGTTTTTTTCAAACAAACAGACGTTTCGGGCCCTTTACAGGTCCCATGATCATGGTTGACTGAGGTGGTACAGTCTTCAACCAGTTATGTCTAATATTGATGCAAACCACCCTATTTTTTCACTATAGTTACAATAGTTATTAATTAAATACCTTATTTTTAGTTTTACAAAGAAAACGTGCCAATTTACGCTACCTTAAGTTTTACAAATTATTTTATTGAATGAATTTTTATTAAGTTAAATTTATTATTAATTAATAATAGAAATTAGAATAAACTAAAACATATTAATTAGTACTGCAGTCTTATGTCTGTTTGGGATTTTTCATTAGAGGAAATACTGGATCCCAAACTGGTGGTACGGAGAAACCATCTTCCCTGTTGAAATTAGGATGTTTTTTAATTTCAATGGACTCTCGCAGCATCCTCGGTAGATAATGGGCTTCTTTTGCAAGGACCTGGGGTTTGTCAAACTTCATTGAATGTGTAGGTTTATCCATGACACGCTCGCAGACTGCAGACTTGTTTACGCGACGGTGTTTGACATCAGCTATATGTTCTTTAACGCGGGTACAAACACGTCGCTTCGTTTGTCCAATATAAGAGAAACCGCACTCACAGTCGAGCTTGTAAACTCCTGCATCCTGTAAGGGATGTTAAATTTCACGGGTGTTAGGAACTGAGAAATCTTCCTCAGGGGCTTGAAATAGGTCTTTATAGATGCACGCCTGAGGACGCTTCCGATCTTGTCTGTAACTCAATGGTAATTCCCATCACCATCCTAGCCAGTTAGCTAACGTGGGCAAATCTATGCGAATAAGTTGAAGATTCCACGCCAATGCCGCAGGCCCCGTGTGAAACCACCAACAGTCGAGCGAAGACCTGCACTTTGAATCTTTGAACTAAAAATTAGGTACTTAATTGATAACTATTGTAATTAATAAATAAATAATGAATAGGGTACTTTGCATCAATATTAGACATAACTGCTCGAAGACTGTACCACCTCAGCCAACCGTGACCATGGAACCTGTAAAGGGCCCGAAACGTCTGTTTGTTTGGAAAAACAAATATACGCGATTTAAGTCCGGAAAATTAGTTTCATTTCCTATGTGCAACAATCGCGAAAACCTAAGAACTCGAAATGAATATAATTGTTATTATAGGATTTCAGTAGCAGTAGAGCTCTTTGTGAATTTGAAAAAACAAGTATATATCATTGCATTGCATTGTATATCTGAAAAATACGCATTTGTTGTCAAAAGTGTCTAGGGATCAATATATTTTTTTAAATATTTGATTACCCTATTAAAGTGAGAAGATTTATAAAATCTTTCAAAGATGTCACTTACGGCGTGGCGTCGAAAACTAAAAAATCAATGCAAATATCTATAACAGACACAGAACAATTTTGTCGACTCGGTTAACTCGACCTGTAACTCAGTTGGAAGAGCGATTCGAGCCCTTATCGAGTCCTATGGGGTCGATAAAATTTTTCTTTGTGTTTGATCTTTCTATTTAACCATTATAGCAAACCAGTGGCGTTATTTCACAAAAATAAAAAATAAAAACAAATCATTAATACCCTATTAAGTTAAAGAAAAATTTAGTTACGTATTTTTTAAATTATGAAATTGTTCAAAAAAACATTGGTGTTTAAAAAAAATAATCAAAAAACCTGATTTTAACCGACTTCAAAAAAGGAGGAGGTTCTCAATTCAACTGTATGTTTTTTCTTTTTTTTTTGTATGTATGTTACGCGATAACTCCGGTATTTGTGAGCCGATTTTTATGATTCTTTTTTGTTGGAAAGGGGATACTTCCATAGTGGTCCCATTTCAATTTGAAGAAAATCATCCACTTTTAAGGGTGACTGATCACGCATGAAGATTCATTTTTATAAATAGCGCCTAACTTTAGTTTAGGAGCAATTATTTTAATGGTTGATTTTGCTATTTCTCCAATTCATGGCGTTTTTCTCTCATACTTTGAGTAGTGAGAACCGATTATTATTATTTCCAGTGTCAAGTAATGTATAGTGGCGAACTATTTCAATAAAACTTAGCAAATAGACGAAATTCCAAGTACTTTTGAGGTCGGTTTTTTTTAGTACTCTGATTATCAGTAATTAGTAAAAACGTGCTTGTCACCTGGATTCTTTTGATGTGTATAATTTGAGTTCAAATGTGCAGCAACAGCGAAAACCTATGCACCAAAATATGATTATTGTTAATTCTTTAATTTGCTAAAACGTTTAAAATATTGCTTAAACTGTTGAGGTAAACTTTTAATTGATCAAGTACGATCACGGATATTAGTTAATTACAACATTCTAGTGTAAATGTTTTCTAGAAAAACGTCCGAAAATTCACGTACTGAATGTTGCTACGTAACCTTAATTATAAACCTTACACTATTGCAGTAGCGTCCTGATGAGCGAAAAAGTTATCCTGTTAAGTAATATCAGAAGTGCTCCTTGTGAATGAGTTCATCCAGGGAAGAACTACCACTTTACGTTCGGGGAATACATCCGCAAAGGGAAATTCCACTCTCTAGCCGCTCACCATATAAATGTGGAAGCAAAACGCGGATATTCCCAGGATTAGCACGAAAATCCTGCGAATATCCACAACATAGGGATGGAATCCCAGCCCACGTCTATCCCCGGATGATGGAAAGGCGAAGGCAAATCAAATTATGCAATTCCATCGCATACTCTCCGAAATATATCCTGTACAATACCGATAAGCAGGCAACTGTACGGCGGTGGTCAAGGCTCTGCAGCTTCGCCTCTACTAATTCCAAGTCACTATAATAAGCCTCTTGGCAATTTCTACTATCAAGCAGTAATGCTCACATTACTGCGTTCCGGTTTCCACGGGTAAGGGTGCTGTTGAAATTAGAAGCTCATGAGATTTGTCAACTTATATCTCATGATGATGGCGGCAGTAGCAGTGCCCCACAGATCTTTGCAATTTAAAGCTCTTCAAATTTTATGGGTAGATGTGTCGCTTCCCACCAGGCTTGTTCTTCCTAGTATCATAAAAACAATGGAGGAAAGACACACACACGCCATATTTAGCAGAACATTAGTAAAATCCCCAAAATAATGCAGTGTTTTAAAAAAACTGACCGGTTATTTAACTTATTACTTTTGGTTTATTTGAAAATAAATGAAT